GAGAATCAAGGTCTTTTGATCTTCCACGTTTAGAGCGGCGTTCTCCAAGAGAGCGAGAGACCCCTTCTTTTCACTCAAGATGGGAAAATGAGAGAAATGAGAACTTAACCGCTTAAACTGGGGACCATGACCCTTATATACTTTAAGTGTAAATATTTTATTTCAGCCCATCATAAAAATAAAATAAATACCCGGCCTCTACACAAATTAATTCCATACAAAATTAATTGAGATGCCACATAAGCCAAATAATAATTTAATACTCAATTAGATCACAAATTTAATTGGCTTAATTTTAGATAGCGTCTAATGTATAATTCTTTATTTATATGTATAAAATATATTGGCCCACATATAGAAATTTCCCAACACATGTGATATAAATGATATTTCATGTTTATGTGTTGGAGGATATATGAAGAATAAGGCAAAAATTAGGAAGTGTAAGAGGTAGATGTATACATTTATGTACAATTCAAAGTGAAGTTATAAGGGCTTGCACACATATGAAATTCCTCCATCCGTGCATTTGATATGCTTGAATAGATGTGAGATGATCAATTTGAGGTATAAGTGAAAGTAGATGTGTCAAAATAGGTCAACAAATCAGGTTCAAGTCTGCACGAAATTGAACCGATCTAAATCCGGTCAACCAAACCCGACCCGTTTCAAAGAGGTGGCACGAACCCGACCTGCTAACCCATTTTAATCAAAAAATATTTGTATTAACTTTTTAACTATAGATTTTAGATTAATTGATTAATAATAAGAATATTATACGAACAAATAAAAGAATTTAAGAAAAAAAATGCTAAAATTGATCATTTATAGGTCAAATTGAGTTGGAGGGCGAATCCAAACCTGGCCCATTTAATAAACGGGTGGCAATGCACTACTAGAATTTCACCCTTTTATTAAATATGTTAACTAGAACAAAGATTTTTTTGGACTTCTGGTTGAGTAATTTATTGACACCCCTAAGTGAAAGTATGTCATTCCCTGGGATCTAAAAAAGAAAGGAATTTAATCATACTGCTATCATCATCAAGTTAAAATCATACCAAAGCCAACAAATATCCACAATACTCAGGAAAAACTTTAACA